GTTAGTTAAATTCTCATCGGGCATTAGATTCTTATAAGAAGTGTGCAACCTAGATCCTTCACATGCACAGTTCACAACAGGGTTCGTGCTCCTAGGAGGATTTAATGCTGCTGCTGATCTGATAGGAGGTGGAGTTTGGGTGGTAATGCTTGCTCGCCTGCAGCTCACCTCCTGCTGGGCAGCCCAGTTCCTAACAGGCCATGGACAGGTAACAGTCCACAGCCAGAGACTAGGGACTCCTGATATACACCATTGAATACTATACAGTCATAAAAGAAATGAAATCATGTCCTTTGTAACAATATGGATGCAGCTAGAGACTATTTTCCTAGGCAAATTAATACAGGAACAGGAAACCAAATACTGCATGTTCTTGCTTACAAGTGATAGCCAAACACTGGTCACATGGACATAAAGATAGCAACAATAGACACTGGGGAACACTAGAGGGTGGAGGAAGAAAGGAGAGCAAACGTTGACAAACAACTGGTGGCTACTATGCTCAGTCCCTGGGTGATAGGATTATTTGTGCCCCATATCTCACCGTTACACAATATACCAGGGTAGCAAACCTGCACGGCTACCCCCGAATCTAAAATAAAAATTGAAATAAATAACAACAAAGAAAAAATAAAATCCTTATCTCTCACTGTAAAAAAGTAAAAATAAAAAGACCAAGGTGAAGTCAGCTTGAGGAGAGTTGGAAGAAGTGTCATTCAGTTTGAGAGATGGAGCCACACTGAACCAGCAGAGTGGGTCCCAATCTTTTCTGCACAATTTCCTGGGGGGAGGCTTAAAGAAATACATGTGAGATCACAATCCTGGGGGTGGTGCACATGTCTGAGTATTTTACTTTAAGCTCTTCAGGTGAGTCTGACACACAGCCAAGGTTGAGGACCCATGTAAGCAGGCGGGCCAGAGAGCTTTTTTTTTTTTTTTTTGAGAGGGAGTCTTGCTCTGTTGCCTAGGCTGGAGTACAGTGGCACATCTCAGCTCACTGCAAGCTCTGCCTTCTGGGTTCACGCCATTCTCCTGCCTCAGCCTCCTGAGTAGCTGGGACTACAGGCGCCCGCCAACACGCCTGGCTAATTTTTTTGTATTTTTAGTAGAGAAGGGGTTTCACCATGTTAGCCAGGATGGTCTCGATCTCCTGACCTTGTGATCCGCCCACCTCGGCCTGTCAAAGTGCTGGGATTACAGACATGAGCCACCATGCCCGGCCGCCAGAGAGCTTTTTTTCCAAGGCATGTCCTGTTCTCTGGTCCAGCCACACTAGCAGCACTGAAACCCAATGTCTCCAAGCAGCTGACCTCTAAAGGGTCCAATTCTTCTTTTAAGAGGGGACCGTTTGAAGAGATGTGAATAGAACATGAATAAGGGCAGAGAAGGTACAAATATGCTAACAAAGCAGATGTTCCAACTAGTTTATTGTGTTTTTACACACGCACACATACACATACGCACACAAATAAATAAAAAGCTCTATACCCAGTAATAGCACTAGTGATAATGCATTTTTGTATTTTTTGGATCATATTTTTGAGAAAGATCAAATATTTCATTAACATTTATTTACTAATTAATATTAAAATAACTTATATTTAACATTTTTACAACAACCTTACTGAGGTATAAATCACAAAACATACCATTAACCCATTTAAAGTATACAATAGTTTTCATTACTTTCACAGAGTTGTGCAACTGTCACTGCAATCAATTTTAGAACATTTTCATCACCCCAAAAAGGAATCCTGTACCCATCAGCAGTCATTCTCCATCACCGACCCTTCTGCCAACCCTCAGCAACTACCGATCTATTTTCTGTCTCTATGGATTTGCCTATTTTTTGACATTTCATATAAATGGAATTATGCAATATATGGTCTTTTGTTATTCCATTATTTCACTTAGGATAATGTTTCCAAGGTTTACCCATGTTGTAGCATATATCAGCATTTCATTCCTTTCTACTGCCAAATAATATCCATTGCTGGAATATACTGCATTTTATTTACCCAACCATCAGCTGATGAACATTTGGGTTGTTTCCACTGCTTGGCTATTTGAATAATGGTGCCACAAACCTTCCTGTACATGTTTTTATGTGGACATAGGTTTCCATTTTTCTTGGGCATATACCAAAGAGACTTGCTGTGTCATATAGTAACTCCATGTTTAACCTTTTGAGAAACTGACAGCTTTCCAAAGTGGCTGTATCACTTTGCATCCCCACCAGCAACATATGAGGGTTCCAGGTTCTTCACACTCATGTCAATACTCATGATCTGTCTTTTTTATTATGGCAATATTTGTTTTTAAAATGGTATGTCTTGATATTTTGTAATACATTTAGATATCGTAAAATTTTTTATGTTGTTTTACTGATGGTTTTGCTTTATGATTTCTGAACTTTCCAATGAAAGAAAACAACTACTGAAGTCAATACATATTTGAGTATCAAAGACCCTAAACTGTCATTTTTGCTGCAGTTATTGCAGCAAGTAATTAGATTTTTTTTCTTTTTCTTTGAGACAGGGTCTTACTCTGTTGCCCAGGCTGGAGTACAGTGGCTCATTGCAGCCTCAACCTCCTGGGCTGGCTCAAGTGATCCTCCCACCTCAGCCTTCTGAGTACTAGGCTACAGGCATGTGTCACCACAACTGGTTAATTTTTGTATTTTTTGTAGAGATGGGGTTTTGCCATGTTGCTCAGGCTGGTCTGGAACTCCTGGGCTCAAGCAATTCACCTGCCTCACCCTCCCAAAGTGACAGGAGGTGTGAGCCACCATGCCCGGCCAGTAATTGCATTTTCTTTATGACAAAATTATTTTCAGAGCTTAGAATTAGATAAAACTTCTTCTCTACTTGTATATTCCTTCTACAGAGGAAAGCAGTCATTGCTTCTTTGCACTGACTGGTAGAAAGCTTAAAACTAAAACTTTTCTTGGTTGGAAATTCTTGCTAAATTTTAATTTTTATTTTCATCTTTTATCTTGTAGGTATTTTTTGATACCTCTATATTAGGAAAAGCTAACTCACATCCCTTCTAGTGGGAAAGAGGCTATAAAGAAGTAAAGAAATAAATACATGGTAAGTACCCTTTATCTGCACAGCAATCTCAAGGCAGTAATTATAAAGGATAAAACTGAAGATATGAAAAGTTATTTACCAAAGTCAGAAACTTATAAGTGGCAAAACTGTATTAGAATACAGATCTTGCAGTCCCTCATTTCAGTTCTTTATACTCTCTCAACATTCCATCATTCTGTTTAATACAGACATTTTATGGCATCTGAAAAGTATCCCAAAGTAGCTCTTGCAGAACCAACACTTAAATGTAATAGAGTCCCTGTGATAAGATATTCAACTAATATTTTATCCCAGTGATTGAGATAACTTTAAATGTTCCTCAATAGTCCCTACAATAGCTTAGCTCTGTATGAAAGGAAAAAATGTGTTTATTTTTTCATTGATAATTATAATTATTATAATAATGATTTTTTTTTTTGAAACAGAGTCTTGCTCTGTCTCCCAAGCTGGAGTGCAGTGGCATGATCTCAGTTCACTGCAACCTCTGCCTCCCGGGTTCAAGTGATTCTTGTGCCTCAGCCTCCTGAGTAGCTGGGATTACAGGCGTGCACAACCACTCCAGGCTAATTGTATTTTTTCTATTTTTAGTAGAGACAAGTTTTGCCATGTTGGCCAGGCTGTTCTCAAACTCCTGGACTCAAGTGATCTGCCTGCCTTGGCCTTTCAAAGTACTAGGATTATAGGTGTGAGCCACCACACCCGTCCTATAATTATTATTTTAATTATTAATTTTCTACTAATGCTGAGAAAGATGGTATAAGACATAAAAATCTAATATTTGTCTAATGATATGGGTCAAGGCACCTAATATCAATAGTTAGCTAAATAATAGGGTAAAATATTTATGAATAATTCCAATGTAGAATAATTTATAGAAAGTTATATTTTTCCACATTACATTTTAAAGTAACTTAAAATATTTTTGGCTATATGAAATTTATATATTCTTCCTTAAAGAAAGAAAATAAACTTTTATAGAAGTAGTTACAGAAGTGCATTTGGTATTCATTCCTGGTGATACAGAATTGAATTTAGGTTTAGTGCCAGATACAGGATGAGAACACCATTAGCTGGAAACTATACTTACCTCTAGGTGATTTCTATAAATTTGAAGTCCAATGATTTCACTTATTAAAGTGGACAAACAAGTTACATGTTCCGGACCTAGGTGACAGTTACAAAAACTATCTAAAAGACAAAAACAGTCTAACCACGAATGAGAGGATTCAATACATTTTATAAATGCCTCAAAAGAACTCTTTTCTTATTCTCATTCTATCTCCATGTCTGGACTTGAGTATTGTGAACAATTGCAGTTTGGTCTAAAGAATTAGTCCATCACTATGAATTACCACACGTCACAAAATGACTTAAATCACTAGTGCTAAGTAAGTGGTAGGACCTTATGATTGAATAAATACTGGTTTTCTAGAATTGTAAAAATCCTCAGAAAGTGTATAGTTTTGCCTCAGTCATTTTACAGGTGTGGGAAATAAACAAGAGGTGAAGGGACTTGCCCAAGATCTCCTAAGTTCATGGCAGAGCGGCAAGTTTATTTGTAATCTAAGGTTGTTCTACAATACCATAAGAGTTCAAGTCAAAACTTAAAATGGACTTGATTTTCGGCTTTGTTTAAACCTGAAATTTAAAAAACTGAGCAAGATCCAGCCCAAAATAGCAAAAAGGTTTTATGAATACACACTTTTCGCTGACAGTCAACTAGAAACCACATAGAATAGAAATGTTTCTATCAGAGCAGATCATGGGTGTATCATGAAAAGTAAATGTAACGATGCCAGCCTTCAGATTCCCTAGGATATTTTAAAACTCTCAAGCACTTCATAGTTTAGGGTCACTGGAGAAAATTACTTTTATGCAAACAAAGGAACACACATCTGGAAAAGGAGCTAAAGAAAAATTTGGCAGTTCTTATCTATTTTATTCCCTGAAGAAATGTGCTGACCATTAACTTCATAAGTTGAATATTATAAATGGAAAAAGGAAGAAATAGAAATCCACCCAGTTCTGGAATCATGGATGGAGTTCTGGAAGATGGTTTGATCTTGTAATCTTTTTTACTGGTCCTCTCTTGGCACTCACTGTCTTCTGCTTAGCTGGATTATATCTTCCACTGAAATAAATAAGTGTTCATCATAATTTTTCAGTCACCATTATGTACAACAAAAACATTATAGGCCACACAGGGAGAAATGTATATTGTACCTTATTCCCCACCCCCCACCCCGATAGACCCTCACATGGAAACCTTCCTGTGAAGAGTTTCAGCTTACAGTGCAAATCTTAGGCAGCCTTCTGTTATAGCATATCATCTCCACAGCTACAGAGGCATACAGCTTAAGGGTAGATAATTCAAACGCTGGGAAGCAGCATGTCAGGTGCCCTAATGTGGAAAGTTCTGTCTAATGAGGGATAAGACAGATCCATGGATTCCTTTCCTTAGATTTCCATGAGATCCTTTTTCCATTAATGACTTATGTGGCATTAAAAAGCCAACCTACCTTACACTCTGACTTGAGAGAGTAAAAGGCCACTTCAATTTCCTAAAAACTTTCTTAGTTAGGGGGTGATGGCAGTAAAACGATGAGTAAGAACCTGTCATTTTCTCCTCATTAAAATGAAGGATAAGATTCTCTTCTGCATAAAAGTGATGATAAATTGGCAAATATGGTTAGAAGCAACTTTATCAAAACTCTGGAAATTAACGAAAGTGTTGCAACAATCCTGGAGAATTTATAAAATAACAACAGAAACAAATGGCTGAAACTTCGAACACTGAGCTTTGTAGCATTTTAACTTGCCCTATGCCTATCCACTGTTCCCCCGGCTGTCATCCCCAGCTCCATGGCAGCCTTGAAAACCAAGAGTGCACAATTGCAGTGAAAACCCAGTAGCCTGGGAGACACCATAAGGGGCAGAATAGGGCTGGAGCTCCTTTAACACCTATTTCATTCCGAGAGGAGTTTCATTATTTAAATAGTCTGGTGATTACTTGAAACACCACTTACAAAGCTATCTTTATTTGACCTAACTTGGAGATGGTCCAGTGTAAATAGCCTTTTCCCTAGGGGCATGGAACAATAAGAAACCATTGTTTAATTTCAGAGCTGCCGGGAGTTAGTAGATAACAATTGAGGAAAAAAAAATAGGCTTACCAGGAAGCTTAAAAGGAAAAGCTGAGAGGCCAGGCTCAGTGACTCTCACTTGTAATCCCAGCACTTTGGGAGGCTAAGGCAGGCAAGTGGATCACTTGAGGCCAGGGGTATGAGACCAGCCTGGCCAGTATGACGAAACCCCACCTGTACTAAGAATACAAAAAAAAAAGAAAAAAATTAGCCAGGCGTGGTGCTGCATGCCTGTAATCTCAGCCACTTGGGAGGATGAGACATGAGAATCACTTGAGCCTAAGGCAGAGGTTGCAGTGAGCTGAGATCATGCCTAGGCAACAGAGTGAGACGGCTGCGAAATGAGTGTTAATAAGCTCCATTATATTTCTTGGAATCTAGAAGACCATACACACGCGTAACTGTGGGGATGCACAGGAGTGTGTGCATACTCAGGAAAGGCCTGAAAAGTCCCTAAGCTTTTGCCTCTGGCTGACCTTGAGGCTCTGCACAAGCAGGAAGTAAAGAATAAGGTACAGTTGTAATTTGCCTGACCAGCTGTTGAAGGCATGTTCCAACACACACACACAGAGCCCATCAGCAAAGGCTAGGAGATTTATTGATTCTAGGCATTTAAAGAAATCTGTTCAATTATTAGCTGACCCCTAAGCTAACTCAGCAGAGACTTCAGTGTCCACCCCAACAAAGAATACAGATTTTACATAATTATTTCAGAAAAGTCACTAAACAAGCAGCCGCAAAAACAGTGACAACAAACAACCCTGGGGAGGGGAAAGAAACTAATATACAGAGTGGCCATGTTATATTTTTTAAAACATCCAGTTTTCAAAAAAAAAAATTACCATATATGAGACGAGACAAAAAAAATGGCTCTTATGCAAGAAAAAAAAAGCAACTAATAAACACTTTCCCTGAGGAAGTCCAGATGTTAGACTTAATAGAGAAAGACTTTAAATCTACTATTTAAATATGTTTAAAGAACTAAAGGAAATCATATCTATAGAGGAAATTATAAGAATGTTGTCTCACCAAATCAAGAATACTAATAAGAGAAAGAAATTATTTAAAAAGAACCAAATAGGCATCCTGGAGTTGAAAAAGAAAATAACTGAAATGAAGAATTCACTAGAAGAGCTCAACAGCAGATTGGAGCAGGCACAAGATTCAGTGAAGTTAAAGATTTGTCAACTAAGATCGTCTGGTTTGAGCAACAGATAACAAAGAATAAAGTGAAGGAAATTAAAATATTTTCCCCCAAAATATAGTTCTTTGACATATTTTGAAATGTCAGTCTCTTGGCCAGCAGGCAGAAATGGCCTTACAAAGCTGTCTTAAGTGGGGAACATTTGCATTAATGTGGAGAATCTCCACTAATGCAGCTGTGCCACTTCCCCTTTCTATGCTTTTCCCCAGATCTAGGAGAGATTGAAAATCTGACACATTTAAAAGTCTGAGAAGAAACATTTACCATCTATTCTCTTTGATGGTGGCTTCATCTACATAAAAAGTCCACCTTTGTTTGCTAAACCTCTTCTCCCTGCTCCTATAACCTTTTTTAAAATCAGAATCTAAGCCCCTACTCTTTCTGTAACTTCAAAATGGTATATAAGCTTCTATAACTCATTGGGAAGTTGGGTCTTCATTCTGAAGCATGTATACATATTAAATAAATTTGTGTGCCTTTTCTCCTATTAATAAATCTGATTCATGTCTGTGATTTTTAGTAAACTTTAGGGGCAAGAGCCTATGGCCCCCACTAAAGAAAACTGAACAGTCTCAGAGACCTGTAAAACACCATCAACTATACCAACATATGTATAATGAGTGTCCCAGAAGGAGAGGGTAAAGAGTAAAGGACAGATAGATTATTTGAAAAATAATAGCTAAAAATTTCCCAAATTTCATTAAAAATATTTATCTACAAATTTAAGAAAGCTAACAAATTCCAAGATGAATATCCAGACACATCATAATCAAACTATCAAAAGCCAACACAAAGAGGGAATCTTGAAAGCAGCTAGAATGAAGCAACTCAGTCTGTATAAGGGATCTTCAATAGGAGTAACAACTGATTTCTCATCAGAAACTATGAAGGCCTGAAGGCAGTGAGATGAAATATTCAAAGTGCTAAAGGAAAAAGACTTTCAGCTAAGAATCCTATGTGCAACAACACTATCCTTCTAAAATAAAAGAAAAATTAAGACATTTCCAGATAAGGAAAAACAGAAGGAATTAATCATCGGTGAACCTGCCCTATAAAAAATAGTAGAGATTTTTGTGTTGAAATAAAAGGACATTTGATAGTAGTGTAAATTCACATGAAAAAATAAAGAAAACTAGTAAAGGTAACTACATAGGTAAACATAAAAATAGGATAAATGTGGTTTTTGTTTGTAATTCTTTTTGAATCTCCTAACTGATTAAGAAAATAACTGCAGGAGCAATAATTATAAATCTGTTGATGGAAACAAAATGTATAAAGTTGTAATTTGTATGACAATAACAGCACAAAGTAAGGTGGAGGGAATGGAGCTACATAGGAAAGATCTTTTGGTACACTACTGAAATTAAGTTGATTTGAACCTAAAGTAGATTGTTATAAATTAATATCCTAATTGTAATTCCCAGGGCAACCACTGAGACCAAGACCAGATGGCTTCACTGGTAAATTCTACCAAACATACACATGTAAAACCAATCCTTCGTGCACACTTCATAAAAATGAAATAGGAGAGAACACCTTCCTACTTATTTTATGAGGCAAATATTACTCTTATTTTCTTGTTTCTGCTTGTTTGGGGTTTGGTTTGCTCCTCTTTTTCAAGTTTCTTAAGGTAGAAGATTTGATTTTTTATTTGAAATGATTCCTTTAAAAATATATTTACAGCTATAAATTTATCTCTAAGCACTAAACCTAATAAAGAAAATCTATGAACAAAATTTACAGCCAACATTATATTTAATGTAAAAACCAAAAGCTTTCTCTCTAAGATAAGGAACAAGTTAAGGATGTTCACTATTACCACTTCTATTCAACATTGTATAGAATTAGGCAAGAAAAATAGATAAAAGGCATCCAAATTAGAAGAAAAAAAAGGAGTAAAAAAAGAAGAAGAAAAAGAAGAAGAAAAAACGGAGTAAAATGATCTCTATTTAGGTGACATGTTCTTATGTACAGAAAATACTAAGGCATACACATACACATACACATACAGACACAGACACACGCATGCATTTATGAGATCCAGGGTTTCTGGATTTAAGATCAATATGCAAAAATCAACTGTATTTCTAGACAATGCAATATATAGTCCTAAAATGAAATTTAAAACATAATTCTATTTCAAACTGCATCAAAAAGAATACAGCATTAGGAATAAATTTAGCCACAGAATTGTAAGATTTGTACACTAAAATCTATAAACTATCTATGAAAGAAATTAAAGAAGATCTAAATAAATAGAAAGAAATTCATGTTCTTGGATTAGAAGACTTAATATTGTTAAGATGGCAATACTACCCAAAGTGATCTACAAATTCAACACACACTCGTCATCAAAACACCAGCTATATTTTGTGAAGAAACTGACAAGTGGATCCTAAATCCACATGGAAATTAAAGGGACTCTGAATAACCAAGACAATCTTGAAAAAGAACAATAAAATTTGAGTACTCACACTTCTTGATTTTAAACTCACTAAAAAGTTAGTCATCCAGACAGTATGGTATTGGCATAAGGATAGGGTTATAGATCAATGAAATACAACTGGGAGTCTAACAGTAAACCCATATGTTATGGTCAATTGTTTTTTTACAAGAGTGCCAAGACCACTTAATTGGTGAAGTATAGTGTCTTCAACCTATGGTGCTAGGACAACTGAATAAATACAGGCAAAAGAGTGAAATTGGATGCCTATCTCATATCATATACAAAAATGAACTCAAAATGGGTGAAAAGGGAGCTAAAACTATAAAACTCTTAGAAGA